CCACTGAATGTTGATCAGTCTCTGCCAATTCTGTAATATACATAAAGCAACATTACATGCATTACTTATTATAAGAGATTGATTTAGTACTTATTATAAGAAATTGATTTAGTTGTATTGATTCTCATTTGATATTTTATAATAATAATGTAATGAAATTAACACAGATGTTAGAGACACAGATTATACATGAAGGGAATATTATTTCTGTTTTTTACTGTATTAAAACACAAATTATTTTAATTATTTGTTTTCTGAACAATCAAATGAGCTTAAATCAGTCAATTGATTTATAAATAGTCATTGATAATAACTTTCATAATTAATAAATAGGCTTAGTTATAGAAATGCAAAACAAAAATTTTTTTAGTAACAACTAAGACAGCTGTTTTTTGTTTTATATTTTAATGTTTTTAATTGAACAAAGTTACACCAGCTCCCCCTCCCTTTTCTCAGACTATCCCCATCCTAGTTACCCTCCCTCTCTACCCCACTCCATGCTCCAACTCTCTAATTGAGAGCAGCATTTTATTATATTGTGTGTATGTGTGTGTGCACGCAAAAATATACCTAAATATAGAATATATTGACTTTTTGTTGGTTGTATTTATATAGTTTAAACACTAGCTATTTTTCTTGGTCTATGTTATATTATGTTAGAATTTACTGAGACAGAAGCTAACTTTTATTTGCTCATTGCTATTAGAATATGTTATATTTGCAATAGCACTCCTTGCCCACCATTATCAGTGTTCTGGGACCAAAGTATAATTCTTTTGACAAATTAGATGGCTAAAACCAAGCAGCATCCCCCCAAAAAATTGTCGCATACAGCTGGGTTTAACTATTTACATTTTCTTAACATTCAAACATGCAATCAGGATAAAGCACAATAAATGTTCTTAAATACATCTGCTTTCTTATATGCAAATGAGCATTTCTCATATTTTTTATATGTATATGCATATTTCTATGTGTTTAATGAGATATAAAATTTTAAAGACATAGTTTTGCTTCACTTAGATTGTGTGAATAATATGAAAAGTATTTCACAATGTATAAACATTGCAAGCATTATCTGTGACACAATAAGACAATAGCTTTTATTTGATATTTAAATCACTTAAATCCACATAATTGGCCAAAAAAATTAACAGAAGTCGTTCTGTCTTACATTGTAAGATTAAAATAAAATAGTAAAAATTCTATGTTGCTGATACTAAAAAGTTTTAGAACAATCTTGATTCTGTTTTAAAAATAATATTCATTCATTGGCCTTAATAATTTTTAAATTGAGCAGGCAATAAAATCATCACTAAAAATGTTTCTAACTAAGCAAAATTGAAACTGCTTTATTTTTACCCTGTTTCTGAGCATACGGACATGTAGAAACCCACCTGAGAAGAGCAGCTCCTAGTTGCCTGAAAACTGTCACAGCGTGATTTTATTACGCCAGCTGTCATGTGGGACTGAAGGTTGTGAAATCATTTCCCCCTGGCTTTGATGTAACCAATTAATATCTTCTCCTATACTTTCCTCTGAAAATACCTCACCATATTTAGCAAACATGTAGCTGGAAGTGTTCACAACTTTATTTAATTCAGTAAAGATACTACTAGAAACACATACGTGCATACATATTGGTACATATACAGGTACATATACATACACATGTACACAATATAGGTACATATACAGGCATATGTACACACGTATTAGTGTATATATGAACATATTTTCGTATATACAACACATATGCATATACATATATATGTACACTCTTATTTGTGTTTAGGAAGATAGAAAGATAGATAGGTAGATAGATAGATGATAGATAATGATAGGTTCTCTACAATCTCAAGATCCATTCCTATCTGTACTTTCAAAAGTACTTCTTTTTGGTTAGTAATAAAGTTAACGATCTTTATGGATAAATTATTTTTAAATAGTATTTTTAATTGTAGTAAATGTCACTGTCACCCAAATTTCATAACCACAAAATATTTTCAAGGAATTATTTTACTTTAAAAATATTTATTGAAAATAGATTCTTTTCTCATGCAGTACATCCTGAACACTGTTTCCCCAGCCCCCCATTTCTCATAGTTTCCCCCAATTTCCCTCCTCCCAGATACACACCCTCTCCAATTATTATTATTATTTTTCAACAGATCTTTCCAAGAAAATCTTCAAGCAGGACAAGATAATACGTAATAAGACAAGACAAAAGCCCTCACATTGATGCTGTACAAGGTAACAAACTGGGAGGAAAAAAATCTCAAGAGCAGGAAAAGAAGCCAGAGGTACATTATTTTGGAGGGAGACCAAAATAGTACTTATAGAGTTCAAAAGAAGGTGTTGAATTCACTATGGTTCCACCTGAACTTGCAAGGGTATCATGCACTTTTAAGCACTGAGCCATCTCTCCAATCAAGTAGGATATATTTTATATATTTTAAGGTGAAATAATTCTCTTCTGTAATTATATCTGAAGTTTCACTATTTAATTTCATTTGTAACACACCAGTTACAGTTTCCCACAGTCATTTTGTAGAATTAATATTATGAAAATGACAACTCTACCAAAAATAGTTTACAGATCCAACACATTTTCAATCAAAATCCTCATTTCAATCTTCAAAGAAAAAAAAAATCTTGAAATAGAAAGAGAATCACAAAATACTTAAGAAAACTCAGAAATCTTCTGGTTTTTTTTGTTTTTTCTTTTTTACTGTTTTTTCAATAAATTTTATTTTTAAAAAATAGCTGTTGAAATGACTTGCATATTAATATATCATTAGTTTTTTTTAATGTCTCCCTATGTCTGGTAAATATTTGAACCTCATAGTTACCTTGCTATACATAAGCTATGCAGTAACAGTCACGAGGATATGCCTGCTGTGGGGTCAACAGAAGCTGGCACAGCTTTCTTAACACACTTCTTACTTGTTTCTCAATGTTCATTTCTGCTTTGGTTTGCTATATATATATATATTTTTATTTTCTGAAGTGTAATAACTGTTGTATCATATTACTTACTAATACTGTTTACATATTCAGGAACACAAATTGGATATAGCATATGGCATGAAAACTTTCATTCCTTCGTCCATGTTGAGATTGGTTGTAACACTTCTGAACTTCTTGAAATATAAGGTAGCTCTGAATAATAGCGATAGTACTAATTTACAGAGTTGTAATCCCAGACAGTTAAGGTGCTATGAATTTAGTTTACTCTATAGTATATATTCTATTACACAAAGCTCCTTTTTTTCTTTTTTTTCATTTTTTTAAAATTTTATTTATTTATTTATTTATTTATTTATTTATAAAAATTTCCACTTCCTCCTCTCCTCCCAATACTCAAATTTATAAACCTGAAATAAAAAAAATATGACTACAAAATCCAAAAGTTCTGCTAAGAAAGTAGTCACCCAAGTGAAGAAGAAGCTCATAGAGTTGGAGAAATATTAAACCAGTAATATACATGGCCAAGATTACTACGTGGAATAAAAAGGAACCCCCAAACCAAAATCATGAAGACATGTGAGCCAATTACAAATGGGATGCTGAACTGAGCATTTTCATTCAGAGATATAAATGTGACTAAGAAATAATACAAAAAAGATTCATCAGCTTTAGCAATTAGGAAAATGAAAATTAAAGCACACCCATTGCTCAACTGCAGATAGATGAAATAGCTTATAGGGATTTTCTTTTTTCTTATTTGAATCAGAAAAGAACGTAATATGTTTGCTTAAAGAAAATAGCATTTCTGACTGAAAGGTGGGTAATTCATTGTTTTAAAATTTGGTACATTAGATATTTTACTAAACTCAAATAAACAATATATAGATAAGATCTGATTTAGCCACAATAAAACTATTTAAAGAGCATTTTGCTAATATAAGATTAAAATTTATCATTTTCCTGAAATTAGCAGGAAAAATTGACATCAATTTTAATTCAATTCCATCTAAACTAACAATGATAATATGTATAATTAAATACATTTTCTCCCATGACAAGACATTCAAATTTACATTACTTTTTGTTCAATTCTTTTTTAAACTTTATGCATTTTTATTTAATGTGTATCAGTCTTTTATGTGTCTTTGAGTATGTGTACCACATCTATTCTAAGCACACATAAAGACCAGAAGAAGGCATCTGAATGCCGGGAGTACAGTTACAGATGGCCATAGCTCACCTGTTTGGGTTAAAATTCTAACCAGTCCCCTGCTAGAGTTACAAGTGCTCTTAGTTACTCTCAACTTTGCATTGCTTTGAACATAATATGCATTTGAAAAGATGCAAGCAACATTCTGTTTCTCTTGGGCTTTTTAGTAACATATACACTCCATCATTTGAAATGCTGAAAAGATCATTTATGAAGTTTTCCAGAAACTGAAAGTGGAGAATACAGTGAGGACACAATTTGACATATGCTAAAATTTATTCTAGGAACAGGTACTGTAGATAGCATACATTGGGTGGATCCATCAAGTGCCAATTAAATAGTGTATGAACTGTTTACCAATTAAATATTCAAATGGTAATTACAGAGACAAAATCAATGAAGATTTCAAAACTGGAAGATGAACTGAACACAATTGTGTTAGAAATTATTTCATAAAGGTAGAAATTTCATTTTCATTAAATTCTGGTTCATTTAAATAAAATGTAGATTATATTTTGCTGTATACATACATACATATATATATAATTTCTATATATTTTAAAATATAAAATTAAACTGAAATATTCATTTTGACAAATCAAGTTGATGACAATAGTAAGGACTTGTATATACATTAGAGTTTTACTCAGTGGTAAAAAACAATGACATCTTGAATTTTGCATGCAAATGGATGGAAATAGAAAACACTTTACTGAGTGTAGTGTCATTTTTAATGAGAAACTTACTGTATCCACATGGGGATATAAGTTCATTAATAAAATTATTCATGTTTTCATAGCCACAAAGTCTAAGGGGAAAAATGCAGGAATATAAATCCCAGGTGATATATAAAGCAATAAAATGTTGTCATCCATGCTCTCCCACCAAAAATCACCCCACCTCAGATAAGCTCCTGAAATTCCAAATCCAAAAATACAAAATTAAAAATTCCCTTTTAAGAAGAGGTCTAAATAATTTTTAAATTAATTAAATTTTATAGCCTACTTGGGCTATATGCTTAAAATCTAATAAAAATGATATTTTACATTCAGAGCAGGAAGATTCTGACTGTACTTAATAGTACCTATTGAAACATATTTTAATTATTTTCCTTAAAAGATTATGTATCTACAACTGTGTGTAGATACATATGTGAAACCCAAAACTATGCTACTTGTCTGTATTTTTCTCTACCATTTTATAAAATTTTATTGAAATAAAGATCCATGTATGTCTCTTTTCTGGTCCTCATTGTTGTCTAGGTTTTCTGGGATTGTGAATTGTAGGCTGGTTTTCTTTGATTTATGTCTAAAAGCCACTTGTGAGTGAGTATATATGTTGTTTGTCTTTCTGAGTCTGAGTTACCTCACTCATTATGATGTTTTCTAGATCCATCAATTTGTCTCCAAATCTCAAGATGTCATTTTTTTTGTCTGTGTAATACTCCATTGTGTAAATGTACCACATTTTTCTTATCCATTCTTCAGTTGATGGACATTTAAGTTATTTCCAGGTTCTGACTTTGAAAAACAATGCTGCTATGAATGTAGTTGAGCACATGTCCTTGTGGCACAATTGAGCATCCTTTGGATATATACCCAAAAGTGGTAGTGCTGGGTCTTGAGAAAGGTTGTTTCATAATTTTCTGAGAAATCACCATATTGATATCCAAAGGATTGGAGTGTTTGCACTCCAACCAGCAACGCAGAAGTGTTCCCTTTACCTCACAACCTCTCCAGCATAAGCTGTCATCAGGTTTTTTTGATCTTGGCCATTGTTACAGGTGTAAAATGGAATCTCAGAGTTGTTATGGTTTGTATTTATCTAATAGCTAAGATTATTGAGTATTTCCTTAAGTGTCTTTCAGCCATTTTAGATTCTTCTGTTCAGAGTTCTCTATTAAGGTTACTTTTATCATTTTGTAGCCTTTTCCTTTAAAAGATTAGAAGATTTATTCTTTGGTTTTAATTACTCTTCTAAAATACAATAAACTTTACAGCCAAAACATCACAGTTTTGGGAATGAAAGTAATCAAAATTGTTTATTACTTATCATGTACTAATAAGCAGGATATTTGATGACACATATTAGAAGATGAAAACTCTTTTATTCATTAGTAATATAGTTATCACTTCTAAAATTAACGGTTTTTCATAGCATCTTGATGTTTTAGAGATAATTTTATGTGTAGTTGAATATTAAGTCCAGTGAATTTGAAACTGCAATATCTCACCATTTAGTTTCACTAACTTAGAGGTGATCATATCTTACTTTTAATATCAAATAGCACTTTGTTAAATTTGTAATTCCTGTTAAAGAAGGCAAGTTAAGAAAAACTAATATGTAGAAGGCAATATTTCTCAAGAACACCATTCAGATTCCAGCATTTATTGATTGTTATATCAGATATACTTTTAAAAATAAATAATGTAATCTTATTTGAAAATTGAAGTATAATTATATGTGTTTTTGAGGATTAAAATAAATTAAAAATAAAATAATGCTCTGCATAATAGAAGTTTTATGGATAAATACCTTTTAATTTTCAAAGTTTATCACAGAAGAATGGGCAAGAAAATTGTTCCTCTCTGGATGAATTCATTTTCAAGGGAGTTATTAATAATCATGATCTGAAAGTGACCCTCTTCACCACATTCCTATTTGTCTGTATTATTAATTTTCTGGGCAATCTTGGGATGATCATTTTAGTTAGAATGGACTCTCAACTCCACCTCCCAATATACTTCTTCCTTAGCTATCTGTCCTTCTGTGACCTCTGGTATTCCAGAGCAACTAGACTAAGATGCTTGTGGATCTTTCCAGCTCGAAAGAAATTAATTTCTGTGGTTGGCTGTGTTTTTCAATTGTTCACCCTGTGCCTTTACTGATTCTGAGTGCCTACTATTGGCAATGATGGACTATGATAGGTACCAGTCCTCAGCAACCACTTTATCTACACAGTAAACATGTCAAATCGGGTGTGTTCTATGCTCTCAGCTCGTTTTAGCTGGTGGGAACAACACATGCTTTGATACATTCTACCCTTGTCTTTTGCTTGTGTTTCTGCGGGTCCAATGAGATCAACCATTTTTTTCTGTGATATTCCTCTACTACTGTTAATATTTTGCTCGGATATATAGGACAATGAATTTACAGTATTCAAAAATTGGGGGATTATTAAAACAAGCACCATTTTAGGACTCCTTGTCTGTCCTTCTCCCCCCCCCCCAAGATATAGCTTCTCTGTAGCTTTGGATCCTATCCTGGAACTAGCTGTTGTAGACCACGCTGGTCTCAAACTCATAGAGATCTTCCTGCCTCTGCCTCCTGAGTGCTGGGATTAAATGCATTAGCCACCACTGCAAGGTCTCAGGACTCCTTATCTCTTATTGTTATACCCTGTCATCAATCTTGAAGATCCCTTCTGCTGAGGGGAGAGTTAAAGTTTTCTCCACCTGTGCCTCTCACCTGACTGCAGTTGCAATTTCCCAAGATACTGTGCTTTTCATGTATTTCAGACCAAGTTCTGCCTATTCCCTAGATCAAGACAAATGAACTCACTGTTTTATATCCTTGTGATTCCCATTCTGAACCCTCTGATTTACAGCCTGAGGGAAAAGGATGTGAAAAATGCCCTGGAAAAGTTTATTGTTTTCCTAAGAAAAGTTAAGTAATGTAAGAGGCATTACCCTCCTACATTATTGTTTAGTCAATTTGCACAAGCAAAAATGGTAACAAATCCTGATGCCTCATTTTCCCTCCTTGTTTGTAATTGCCTAATAGGGTATGTGCTTTTTTTGTTGTTTAAACATTAAGAAAAATAATTAGGATGTGTGGATTTTTGTTTATATACAAGCACAAGTATCCCATTTGACAAGTAACTATTTACTCACATTATATTATGAAAATGACTTGATGGTCTTTAGGGAACTCGTTTATGTTTACAAAATGCTTCAGAGAGATTGTCTCAATAAACCCAATGTTAATGTTAATCATTTAATCTCTGACAAAAAGTCACTAATTGCTATTAATGATGTCTTAGTAATTATATTTCAGAAACAGTACAGATGCTTAGTACTCAAATTCTATTCATTTTATATTAATAGGTGAATTCAAGAGGTTCCAACAGGTGGTCAAAGGGCCACAGGAAATTCACGATTGCTATCAACCTTGCCCAAGAAAAAAATCAGGGCATAAAACATTATGGTTTTGATTGTGTGTGTGTGTGTGTGTGTGTGTGTGTGTGTGTGTGTGTGTTTGTGAGTGTGCATGTACACATATGCATGTGTGAGCATGTCCATACGTGCATATATTTATATATGTAAATGCACATGAGTGGTCTACTACCTATCTGTCTACTCACAGAGACCAGAGAATAATGTCATGTTTCTTACTGTACATCTCTCCACATTATTTTTTGTGGTTGTATTTGTCATTTAATTTAAACTATACTGGCCATGAACAAGGTCTGAAAATGCTCATTTATCTGTTTTCCACATTACTGGGGCTACAGGCACATGTATGGTCATTCCCAAATGATGGTACTAATACTCAGGCTATATGATTACAGAGAAATTTCTGTTATTCACTGAACTATCTTAACAATGATCCATAACAATTTTTTATTAGTTTTTATGTACTTGATTTCAGGAATTGGTAGTATGAACTTTGCTGAAAATCTTGCCAATTGAAATTTCAGAAAGTTGGATACAACTAATAGAAGTTAAATGTAATAAATATATTATCAAGACCCTTGCACGTTGATAAAAAAAGAACTTGGGAACACAAAAGCAGACTTTATCATATTGTTATGGTTGAATTCTATACAGATTTTGTAGTAACTTGAAATATTTCTTCCATATTAATTTAAACTGTGACATACCAAAATGTTAGCTATTTTATTATACCTTCAGCAATTAAATAAACACATATTAATATTTAATTATTGCTGGCAAATCTGAAGAGCTCTGAGAAATAGAATAGCAGAAAATATGGGGATAATAGTAAATTATCTAGATAAATAATTTGTGTATTTATATCAAATATCAAAAGTTTGAATTCTCTTCAAAATTTTCCCATAGAACATGTGGTCACATGTTTCACATTGTATTTTATTCATATCAAGATATTTTTGTTTTTAATATATTTTATGGAAAGTGGATAGATTGATATGTATAGGATATTTCCAAAGAGAATATATCTCAGGATGTTATTCAAAATAGCAAAGGCATTTTAGAATCATGAACTGATTATATGTCAAAGAAAGGAATAAAAAATTGATGTATTTTGTCATTAACTATGTAAGAAGAAAAAAATATTTGTTCCAGAGCTCAAAGCACTATTTTTTGAGTAGTTTTCTCAGTGTAGCAATTACATTATTATTGATAAGACTGTACATCAGTGGATTACATTTGAGAATCACAATGCTATAAAACAGTCAGACTCATTTGTCAGTACCTGGAAGGTGAGCAGACTTTGGCCTCAAGTTGAAAACAATAGCTAATCCAAAAGAACAGAACACCACAAAAAAATGAGAAGGGTACATGGATAATTCTTTTGCCCATCCTGAGGCTTTTGGCAACTTAAGAATGGTGGCAAAGATTTTGGTATAAGAGACAAGTATTGAATGGGCTGTGGTGGCAAATACCTTTAATTCCAGCACTCAGGAAGCAGAGGCAGGTGGATCCCTGTGAGTTAAAGGCTAACCTGTTCTACAAAAGTTAGTTCCTAGACAACTATAGCTGTTATACACACACACACACACACACACACACACACACACACACACACATACACACAACAAAACAAAACAAAACAAAACAAAAACACCTCTGTCTTGGAAAACAAAGAAAGGGCAAGTATCAAGAACAGCATAGCCACTAAGTAGACAAATAGTTCATGCGCTGAAGTATCCCCACAGGCTAGCTTGAGAATGAGAGGTAAGCCACAGAAGAAGTGGTTGATTTTATTAGAATTGCAGAAATGTAGAGAGAATATCTGAAAGGTTTATCCTATCTGTACTGGAATGCCACCAAGCCAGGTGTCTGTGATCATCTGAGTACTCTTTGTTGGGTTCATGACTAGATGGTAGTATAGAGAGTTTTATGCTGTGAGAGAATGTTCTTGTATACTGTAAAAATTTGTCAGTCATATTTGTTTAATAAATTGCTGACTGACCAGTAACCAAGCAGAAAGTGGATACAGGGTGACCAGTCTAGAAAAATCCTACGAAGAGGAAAGGAGAGAGACAGTCATTACTTTGATGTTGAGAAAGCAAGATGAGAATGCCTTACTGAGAAAAGGTACCAAGTCATGTTGTTAAACATTGATAATAATTATATGTCAACTTAAGTTGCAATAGCTAGTTAGTAATAAGCCTGAGCTAAGAGGCCAAACAGTTTATAATTAATATAAACCTCTGTGTGTTTATTTGGGATTGACGGCTATAGGACCAAATGGGACAGAAACTTTTGACTTCAAAATGTGATCTTGGGAAGGGATTCTAGACTCAAAAGAACAAAGCCAACTGCAGTTTCTTTACAATGGCAGTCTGTTTGCTGGTGGTGATCTCAGGCATGGCTCCCTTAAAAGAGGCTTCTTGATTTAGTGTTTTCAGTAAAAACTGTTCAGCTCCTGTAAGAGGCCCTGTCTCTAAAGATCGTGTTTTTGGGAAGCTGGCAGCATATTTCTTGGTAGTGAAATGGGATTAGAAATTCCCCAAAATGGTGACAGAAAACATGACTCCTGCTGGTACCACTGCCATGAACTAGACTCTCAAAAACAAAGTAATGAGGTGGAGCCAACTATCAAAACCATGACTTTAATCATAATAATGCTACATGTCAGATTAAAGAATCATGTGTTCATTTAAATATAGAGATATACAGTAAAGACAGATTCAGATGGCAAAAGCCTCTAAATGGTTTACAGTGTGTTTAGAAATACATGTAGATTTGGGAGAGAAAAGAAAAAGGATAGAGAAAGTTCCTAAAAAAGGATATAGAGAAGTTAACTATGATTGCACATGCCCTTAATCCCAACACAAGGGAGGCAGAGGCAGGCAGATCCCTGAGTGTGAGGTAAAACTGGGTACTGAGTGATTTATAGGACAGCCAGATATACAGAAAAACCCTGTATATAAAGAAAAAAATCCATTGTTGGTGGGAATGCAAACTTGTGCAGCCACTGTGGGAATCAGTGTGGCGGTTTCTCAGGAAACTGGGCATCAACCTCCCTCAGGACCCAGCAATTCCACTATTGGGAATATACCCGAGAGATGCCTATCATACTACAAAAGCATTTGTTCCACTATGTTCATAGCAGCACTATTTGTAATAGCCAGAACCTGGAAACAACCTAGGTGCCCCTCAATAGAAGAATGGTTAAAGAAGGTGTGGAACATATAAACATTAGAGTTTTACTCAGCGGTAAAAAACAATGACATCTTGAATTTTGCATGCAAATGGATGGAAATAGAAAACACTTTACTGAGTGAGGTAACCCAGACACAAAAAGAGGAATATGGTATGTACTCACTCATAAGTGGATTCTAGCCATAATTAAAAGTCTTTGAGCCTATAATTCGTGATCCTAGAGAAGCTAAATAAGAAGGTGAACCTAAAGAAAATCATATAGTTATCCTCCTGGATATTGGAAGTAGAAAGGTTGCCAGACAAACTTGGGTGCATATGGGGTGGGGGGTGGAAGTAAGGGGAGATGGTTAGAAAGAAGGGAGAGGGAGAGGATTGGGGAAAGCTTGGGGGAATGGG